GGGGGGGGGGCGTGCTGCCCTCTGAGCAGAGACGAGAGAGCTTGGCTTGATTCGCCTAGCAGGGGATCTGCCGGCCCCCTACAGCTACATCGGGGCTACCCCCCAGGAGGAAGGGCCACGTTGGCAGAAGAACAACCAGGCTCAACTGGCCAGGAGCAAATTGTAGCCACCGATGTCCTAATGTAGTGCCAGAAACGTGGGTGGATTTGCTCCAGTTGGCCGGCTCGCCGTGGGGCCAGCACAGCTAACAGGAGAGAGTAGGATCCGTGATGCTGGCTGGAAGCGAAACTCAGGGCTCCGGTGGGTTTGCCCCACGGCAATGGAAAGTCATTAGAAAGGGAAATTAGACGGGGGCGGGGCAGAATATGCCTGCTCTGACTCACCTGCAGCTGCTCTGTGCAGCTCCAGGTGGCCTTTGGAGTCAGGCCTCCGGGTCACCTTATACTCAGCCTGCTTCTCAGTATAACACCCTGGTGCACACTCGTCACTCATCATGTGAAGAAGTGGGCTGTGCCCACAAAATGCACGATGCTGTCGATATTCTTTGTGAGTGTCTGAGCCCTAAGTTCAAAGTAACCCCCCTTCTCTCGAAATAGCAAGCGGCGCGTCCGCATGGCCAAGCCTGTGGTTTCAAAATAAGGGGCTGGTTATTTCAAAATCCTATCTCCTGCTTTCCTCCTGCTAATTTTGAACTAGTTCTTTCGACAGAGGGGCCGTGTGGGCGCGCCGCCGCCGCTCTTTCGAAATGACGACTCCCCCGAGCGGTTCGAAGCGATGACGCGCCAGTCGTGCTGGGGCTCGAAGGCGAGGCAGCGCGTCCACTTAAGGGAGCCTGCCTCCGACGCATTTCGTGGCTTCCCTGCCGGGTGGACACGCTAGTTCGAAAGCGTTATTTTGGGAGTTATTCCTTTGAAATGATTTCCTAGTGTAGACATGCCCCATGGGGCTACAGTGCCACTCGTCCTTCTTCACGTTATTTTAAGTTACAGGCTCTGCCAGCTGCCCCTCTGAGACCCGTCCCTGGTTCACGTGGGGGCTGGTGTGCGTGGCCTGTCACACATGGTGACAGGCAGGGTGAGTAGGGGTGCAGGGCGGGGACAGGCTGGCGCACTCCCGCCAGGGGCTCAAGACCACTGGCCAGGTGACCGTTGCAGACTCGCAGGCTCCATTTTGGGCTAGTGATTGGCATGGCGGCGAGGGGGGCGCAATCAGGCTAATCCAAAGTGAACCAGGAGACCTTGCAGGCACCATCTGCATGCACCAGGACGTGTGAGCGCCCGCGGCTGCCTCACACGGTCCCTGCCCTCACCGCCCTCTGCTTTGGGAGATCCGTGGGCAGGGCCGACGTATCCATTAGGCCATTCGGCACAGTGCCTAGGGCCCACGATGCTTTTAGGGGCCCACGAAAATGTTTTAATTTCTGTCTCAAATCAGAAGGAAAAAACGGAACTTTTAGGGTGGAAGACAATGTTTTAATTTTTTTCTCACATCAGAAAAAAAGGAAACTTTTAGGGCCCACGAAAATCTCTTACATTTTGCCTAAAACAGAAAAGAAATAAAATGTTGACGTATTTAAAGTGAGATCAAAAATCATTTTTAGTATTGATATTATTATGGTGGGAGGGGCCCACGAAGACAAAAGTGCCTAGGGCCCACGAAAGTCATAATGCGGCCCTGATCCGGGGCGGGGCTGGCCCGCAACATTTTGGCACCTGGCCCACATGCTGGCACCGAGGCGGGGAGCTCAAATGACGTCCCCATGCCCCCTCGCTTGGTCTCAATTGCGCCTCCTTCCTGTTCTGCTCCCCTCGTGGGGGCTCTCCTGCCTACCTCTGCGCCAGCAGCGGACACAATTTTCTACACTCTGGGTCCAAGTGGCGCCCCCCACAATCTGGCACCGCCTCGGTTCGCTCCATGGCGAGGCCGGCGTGTGCCGGGGGGCAGAGACCAGTCCGCCCGGCTGCCTCGCCAACAGCAGCAGGAGGCTGGGCAAGAGGGACTCGGAGCGGGGGAGGGGAGCGTTCACACTTAGACTCGCTCTGCACAGGGGCCGGTCCCAGTGCAGGGGGAGGGGCAGCTCTGGGGGCACCGTGTGGGTCACTAGGCGGCTGATCTGCCACATGAAGGGCAGGGGTCTGCCTCTCCCTTCCCCCCGCACAGA